CTATGTTTTCTCCAGTTTCACCACATTGGCTCATCAGCTCCAGTAACTTAGCTACAGCAGGATATTTAGCAGTCTCTTCAGTTTAAAAGGCATCACAAATGCTAACACACTCACATAGCTTTCTGCTCAGAGCAGAGGGATCCCCCTGCATCGTACCACAGGCTTGAGGAGAACCGTGTGTCCTCCTCTCTGCCCCAAATCATGACAGTTAATAAACAGGAGAGCCCAGTATCAGCACATGCAGCTCGAACTGTTCCTACAACCAGAGACAATAAGCAAAAATGGGCCACAAGGCCCTGCGAGCACAACTGCTGTGGCCACGCTGCTGGAGGGGCCCAGCAGGCCAAGCCTTGCAAGCCTCCGAGTGACCCTGGAAGCTCAACTGCTTGATTCCCTCCAAAGCAAGCAGGGGAGCCCAGGGATGTTGCTGGGCAACCTGGGGACAGCCTGTGCAAAGCAAAAGCTCCGTCCTCTGGTAACCTGCCTGAGCTGCAGGAGCATCTCAAGAGCTAGAAGCTTTATCTGGTTCTCCAACCACGGGCTAGGAATTGATTTACTCTGCTAACACCAGCTTCTCCACCTGATGGTCATGAGCAGACCTGCGATGGAGAGACCTCCGTGGACCACGTGGCCTAACTATCCAAAAGCTTTTGTGAATGCTGCAAAAGGAGACATTTTCTCTGTGAACTTCAAGCCGGTACGTGAGCGACATGCTCAAGCGCCTGGTCCAACACTGCAAACACTGGAGACTTGAACTGCTTCTGGGATGCACAGGAGATACAACGGAATCCTGTTGAGATGGTGATGGAGATAATCTTATCCTTGGCACATGGAAGGGGCAGATGTAGCTAACTGCACAAAGTCTAAGTCCACCAGCCTGGAAGAAGATGAGAAGTTCTGGAATGGCCTCAGAAAGAGCAGTTTATAGAGTAGGAACGCAGTTTGGGTGAATGCCCATCACACCTGGGCACAGGTGGATAGCTGTGCTACTGCACGTTCCTCCCCAGGCCACCACCAACAGCAAGAAGGGATTCAGGACTGGTGCACACAGACCTTGCACCACTGATAAAGCCAGATCCAGCCACTGGCCAGGCTGATGCTTGGGTGTCAAGACACAGTTGTGCATGTTCACAGGGGCTTCACAGCAAAGAGCACTCATGAAGCAGTTTAATGTGTGACACAGCTTCTTACAGGATTGCTGACAAGGAAACTATCAGTTTCCTGACACAAAGATTGCTGAAACTAGTGTGGTTATGGTGGACAAACAGATTGCATCCTGGAATACTTAAAGGAATTGCAGCCATTTCCTAAGAGACCATATGGATCGGCCACCGGGAGTCTGCCTTCAAACCCAGGGTTCGTTTGTTCTTTCATTGCCTACGTTAAGGTAAAAGTCATACGCTATTTTTGGCTATTAAATATTTAATTCCACCGCGCGAGAGGAGATGCTGACAGATGGTCAGTGCACAGCAGGCCTCTGCCTCTTTCTGAGGAGGTGAAAAAGTTAAAGGAATAGTCACAGCACCTTCACTTCCAGTAGGAACAATATAAACCCAAGCACTGTGCCAGCGGACAGGGTTGAGAGAATAGGAGGCTCCCTATGATCAACTCTTAAGCAACAGGTACATTTGCATGGCTATGAGCAAACCATGCCTTGGCCAGCAGTCTGGTGGATGGTCTGCAGATGTTCCTGCAAGCCGGCGTCGCTGTGTCTCAGCTACGTGGCCAAGCACTCCCTGCTTCCCGCTGCATCTTCCCTCCCAGCACAAGAAGGAAGATCTGGAGGCAGGGTGATGCACGTGAGCCGGCAATTCAAGCAAAGAGCTTGGGGTTGCTTTGAAAAGCTTCATTTCTAGGCACATGAGCCGGCAATTCAAGCAAAGAGCTTAGGGGGGTTGCTTTGAAAAGCTTCATTTCTATCACGGCAGAGGAGCAAACATCTCAAAAAGTGTTTGAGAACAGCGACTTTCTCCTGCTTTAGGGAGCGCTGAGACATCAGAGCTGGTGCCTGTTCCTGCAGAACTGCATAAGAATTGTCTATCCGCTGGGAGCTCCCTAACCAAGACTTTCTTCGTTTGCTATTTGCAGAGCTATTAAATTCTGTTTTAGTAAGAGTTACATTCACACAGTTCAGTTCCCTTTAACAATTTTTTCACCACTCCAGTGTATCTTAATCAAGTGTGAAATATGTCTTAAGGTTCATGAGAAAGCCAAATCCAACCTTCCACTAAGCTAATCCAAGCTGACCAGTGATCTTCACTAAGCCACGTGGCAGACAGAGAAGCTGGTGCCAATGCGGGGTGACGGATCCAGTGCCTTGTCAGAGAAATCTTTCAACATAGAGGCCAATGGCACAGCTGGCGCTGGAAGCTACAGTAGCTGCAAAGGGCAGACAAACAGCACAGCTGTGCGATAGCTTCCTACTCCATTCTCATGGAAACGCCGAAAAGGAACGTTCATCCCAGCAGTTAACTTTGACAGAGCCTTCAGGTACCGAGCTGTAAGCAACGCTACTCAACTGCAGCAAGGACAAAGCAAAACTAGATCAAGTAACGTGAAAGCAGACTAATTCCACTAGTCTTTGGCTACGGGAATAAGGGAAGTAGATAACCAATACACATCCCTCAGATATTTAACTCTGGAATTGCTTTAAAGGTAGGCAGACATCCCAAAACAGGTCTTGCACACACTATAAGGAAAGAGATACAGCAGCACCAGGCTCCAAAGTCAACCTTACAAAGCTAGTTGTAAAGCTCTCCCCAGAAGTATCGTATCTGCTGCCTGTGTGGTCAAGGACTCCACGCCTCCTTAACAAGACTAGATGGACTTCTGCAGCAAGCAGTAAACACAGATGGGTTTTGGTAAGATCTAGAGTTTGAGGGTAGATTGAGGTTGTGCTTCTTGATTTTGTTCATCACTAACAAACTGTGACCCAACTTTTCAGTAGCCTTAACATTTTACTGTTCCTTGGAAAAGTTGGCTGCCACAAAACACTTCTTTCCAGGCTGGTCTACACGAGCGACTTCCACACACTGACAAAAACAGCCTACAAGAAGGTTCCCCTTGGATTCACACTAAGCTGTCCCTTCCAAATTGCATCTTCCTGTGGTTATTACCTAAGGCTAATATACTTTTAAAATGTTCACTCTGAACATTCAGAGAAAAGGTAATTGTCATTGACATTCTTCTCATTGAAATTATATCTATATTACGCACACAAACGCTGCATGTAAAAGCAGCTGATGACAATTTTGACTTCTCATAGGGATACAGCTCACCGAGACCATCTGGGTATTGAGTTCGTTGAACAAAGTACCTCTATTAACTACTTTTCAGGTTAGCAGTGGGAGATTCACAGTCAACCACGTTAGCTGGCAAGATTAACTGGCTGATTTATTGAACAGTACACGGCACGCAACACTACTGCTGTTTGCAAGTGAGTCATGCACACCGTGGGTCTGGACACCTTCGCTCTTCGCTTGCTGAGTCTACAATGATTTGAAGCAACCAGATTTGCTTATGGGAAGTTAAAGATCGTCTGCTTCGACGGTTGAAGTCACAGCAAAGATCATTAATACGTTAAGGGGGGGCCTGGTGTTAACCATCCTGAGAAGGGACCCAAGTATTTCTTCAAAATCGGAGCATGTTCAGCCCCGATCTGTTCCTGCAGACAGCCAGCTCGTCCCCAATTCCCAGCGTGATGCCTACACAGCACACTGAGACTCCCTGGCCGTGGGACTCCACCAAGATTTATTTTGCTAAGCTTCCAAGTTTCGTGGTGAGGCTAGAGATACGGCTCCCATTCTCCACCCTAGCTTCTGGCCTCCTTCCAGGCTTCTTAGCAAAGCTGTAGCTCAGGAGTTCCTAATGGAAATAAACAGATTCGCAGAGTTGGGTTTGCAATGCCAGTGGGACCATATAGATTTAGAGATGAAAGCCACGTCCTTCGTAAGGCTTCCAAGCCGCCTCTTGACAAATATCGGCAAAGGGCTACAGATGACAGTCATTCCCCTACAGAAGAGGGGGAAGAGAGAGGTTGAAGGCTATGTGTTAAAGACAGCCTAGAATCAAGTCACAGATGTGTGTAACTCGTGCCAGCATAGTACAGGACTGCAGCACCAAAAAAAATGCTCATTTGAGCAGAGTGGAAGATGTACGAGGGCATCCTCTGCAAGTGGAAGTTGGATCCACTCAAGGAAAATGAAACAAAAATCAGGAAAAAGTGTAAAAGAAAAAAAAAAAAGGCAGCTTGCCAAGAAAACGAGGTCAATATATTAGCAAGGCACAGAAGGAGCAGAGGTAAGATCTTTGCTTCCGAGATGCTGCTTCACGCAGTGTCTTGTCAGGGTTGGAAATCACAGGGTACATGCTAACAGTCTATGTAGTTTTAAAAATCACCATAAATTCATGGAAGAAAAATACAGACACAAGCTCAAGTCCTACGATCGAAAACTGGAGAATTCACCAAGGGGAGAAAAATAATCACCATGAGCTTATCCTGTTACATTCTTCCTTCATGTGTGCTAAGGACATGGAAGTCACCATGTAGATTGGCTCTTGGACACACTTACGACTTCTCAAGTAGCAATAAAAACACAACTTCTTGGTATTTTATTACAGAACTGCCACGCTTCTTACACAAATTTCTGTATTTTAAGGCTTCAAACCACCTTTCTGAAGTCTGTCATGTTATACACGAATAGCCCAAATAGCCCATTCAAGGTTTTCATGTCTTAAGAACACATTTATGTAGGTCCTGCACATGTCAGTCAATCCTCACCACCACTGTAGCCAGTTTACCAAAGAGTTCCTAGGTCCACATAATATCCACAGCCATCAAGATGCTATTCTGACCAAATCTCTTCCAAAAGCTGGTATGGGACTAAAAGAACCTGCCCAAATCAATGAAGTTCAAGTTGAAATTATATAATAAATCTGATGGCATCATTTGCTATAATAAAACCACATACTTTGTAGAAACTTATGGTAGGTTTACTTACCTGCACTTCCAAGTTGCTTATAAAATCGGTACTCTAAATGAAGCTGTGGTGCACGTGATTTTATTGGTTCCTAAAGCAGGGGAAAAAAAAGTTGGTTATAATCAGTTTGACTGAAAAACAACAATAAAAAACAACAAAAGAACATATACAATACTCAAAGTTTTATGATCACACAACTTCTGAAGTTGCAAGATGAGCTAGTCTAGATGAAGAGTCCAGCAACAGAATGGACCGTTAGAAATTATTTAAATAAGTAGAGGACAAAAGGCAAAAAAAGTTTGCTTTATGTGCTCTGGAGGAGCTTTTCTGACATCTGCCAGGGGAGAAATAACGCTCGCTCTTCAAAGGGAGACTCGAGCACCGCTCAGCAAAGCTCCCGATCTTTGAAGAACGACCATGAACACACACTGCATTCATATGAGGAAAGCCGAGGATGCAGAACATTAAGTCACACGTTCACCACTCGTGGTCACCACTTGTGACCCTTTTGGATGGTCACTAGTCTGCATTTAGGAAAGACATTGAGTCAGACATCCTTGTTTTAAGTCACACCACGGTTGTAAAAATCCGTATCTGCTAAGGCTCCCCTTTGAGCATCAGCTGTCAGGTAAACATTGCAAGGCAATAGGACTATTTTCACAAACGGAATAAAAAGGGATGAGCTACTTCTCTCGTGCACCCGCGACGTGTCTCGACTGTCGCTCACCAGCTCTTTATGCACAAAACTTAATGCCAGCAGCCTATAAAAGCATTAACACGCACGATTATAAAGCTTCTAGAAGCACACAGTTGACATGGAGAGGATTAAGAGACTTCAGTAATTAGGTCTTCAATAACACCGTGCACTTGGTAAGACAGCCCTGCTGACTCAGCCCTCGTCTACACATCTTTTACTGGAAGTTAATACTGGCCTCTATTTTTGTCCATTTATATTACTTATGTTTCCTGCATTTCAGAGAAGAAAGGTTCTATGCTCCAAACTTCATCAAACGATTGCTATTGTGGCAACGAAATTAACATAGTCACTGTCTGAATTTCAGAAACGTGCTAAAACGCCTCCTATTTGGAAGCTAAACCACCACCTACCAGAAGTTTGCTCCCCAAAGCAGCCACCTAAGATCGGCAAAAACCACTTGGGTGTCCTGTGTCTGCACCAACAGGCGACAACAAGAGCATCCAAAGAAGGGGCAACATGGTCAAGAGTTTGAACTGCCATCTCCAACCTGCTGGAATAACGGTTCTATCCACACCAAGGCTGATCCATCCCTCTTGTTTCACCCATGGTCCATATGGCAAGACTTATGCGGAATTCAGGCCAACTGCAGACCCTCAAGTCGTTCTTTTAAGTCAGAAGAAAGATATTGTACAGGAATCCAGGGAATTTCAGCTTCCAGCCAAGCTGTTCATCATCAGCTCAAGTCACCAACTCCATTTGCCAACAGAAAAAAACTCAACCAACCAAAAAACACCACTCTGGTTGTTCCTGGGCTTTCTGATACTTAAATGTTTGGAAGTTAAATGTTGTTGTCTAGAAAACAAGTGACAAAAAGCACTCCAACTCTACTGAGGGCAAATATAAGGCAACACTACCCAGTTTGCTACCCAGGTTAATGCAGAAGCCTTTGTTGGTTAGAGAAGTCTTTGGACACCCTCAAAATAACAGGATCCAGAGCAACAGGAACTCGGGCTTTTTGGGGACTTCAAGCTGGCAGGAGGATTAGTGTAGTAGGACGTGAAGTGGCTCTGTGGGGAGGTAGGGGACAGTAAGCCATGCCCAACCAGGTCTCCTCCTGCCCCAGGAGGTGCTGGGGAAATGAACCGGAGCTCTGGACACGTGCCAGCGTTGTGGCAGCATCCGGGAAGATGGTACCGGAACAGATGGCTGCAAGCAAAGGGCTTAAGGATGCTGGCAGATGTTGCCTTTGTATCGAAAAGAAATAACTGAATTACAGCCTAATGGACAAAAACTACAGGTCAAACAGGCAGGCACTGTGATTACCACCCTTCTGAGAGGGCATGCGGGAGGCGCGCGGCGTGGCCCGGTCACGCTGCTCCCGTGCTCAGATTACACCTTCATTTCATGCACAGAAAACAAGCCGGACCGTGTGCGATGCAGCATTAGAAACCCCCAGAAGATTAAGCTGGTAAATATGGTCACTGTGCTTCAGAAGACAAATTTCTTCATGAAGCAGATCCCCCTCAACCAAATAATCTTCAGCTGGAAGAAAGGAGCTGTGAGATCCTCAAGGTTGAGGCCAGCCAGTATTTTGCACCACGAGAGCAAGATAAAACAGAGCTGCAGCAATCCCTTGTCCCCAAAGACAAACCAAGAGAGACGAGCAGTGAATTGTACAGCTTTCTTGAGCAGCAACGTGGCATCTCTCACAAAAAGTCTTAATTTTCTCATATTAACTACATGTTTTTTGATCAAGCCTGAGGATGGCCTATAGGAATCATAGAATTGTTGGAAGGGACCTCTAGAGGTCATCTAGTCCAACCCCCCTGCATACGCAGGGTCACCTAGAGCACGTGGCACAGGACTGCGTCCAAGTGGGTTTGAAGATCTCCAGAGAAGGAGACTCCACAACCTCTCTGGGCAGCCTGTTCCAGTGCTCTGGCACCCTCACTGTTAAGAAATTTTTCCTTAAATTCCTGTGGAACTTTTGATGCTTTAATTTCTGGCCATTTCCTCTAGTTCTATCAGCGGCCACCACTGAAAAGAGGCTGGCCCCATCCTCCTCACTGCCTCCCTTGAGGTGTGATGGAGTGTCACTGCTTTAGCACATGGTCACTCAGATAACGTTTTGCAAAATACCATGAAGAAAAGACTGAGTAAGAATAAACAGCCAGTAGCATGAACACACCACATTTTTTTTTTGTTCTCAAAGCTGCCTCAAGAGCAAGCTACTTGGCAAGCATCACTCCTCCTTCCCAATACATATTCCAACATGGATATATAGAATTCACTGCAGGCATTTCCTTTTTAGTGAAGATCTCCTGACATTTGCCAGCGGGAAGCTTCAAAAATGAATCCCTCCTGCAAAGTACTAATTACTTCTCCTCTACGACACATCATATTAAGGAGAGTAGTAGAAAGGGGAGATCTGTGGCGCTTCAACATGAATCAGAATTCAATATGCCAAGTCCATCTTGATCTTCTCTAAACTGAAGGATTCCTGTCATTTTGCCAGACAGCATTAGATGGACAAACAGGCATTTTTATGGTGAGCACCAAATTAGTACAACTACTTTTATATAAAATTCTCACTTTTGGACCTGCGATAAAAGAGCACTGGGTATATTTTCAGTCAAACACTTCCAAGTTTCAAAACCCCAAAAGACTAACAAAAGTCTTAATTAACAGGAAAGTTGAGGCATAGAAACAAGCTACTGGGCCGTGGTTTTCTGAGTCTGCTAGAGCTAAGAATTAGAGAGCTTCTCCATCCCTCGGGGTCAAACTTCAAACACCACTGCTGACCACTACAGCCCTGTGCTCGGAAGTGGCCACCAAAGAAAAAAAAAAAAAAAAAGTTTATCTGATCCATTTGCTACACTGCAGAAACATGAAAGTGGCCATCACACGTGCTCGGAGAGGGCTACATTGCCTGCAGAACAGATGGGATGGGAACCCAACTGCTCGCACAAATTCTGGAGTCTGCTTGAATTTTTACACCACTCCTGCAATGATCTGTTTAGATGATCTGATTCATTTTCACCATCTCCTGACACAGGATAAAAGTCATTCTGAAGATATTGGAGTCCTGTGCTCTTCCCTATCCAAACGTGCTAGATGCAGGCTGGTCTTCGCTGCGTTGCATCTCGTTTTGGCTGTTGCATCTGCAGCCTCTCAGCATTACACCAGACTAAGTTGTGCTGTTCCCCCAGAGCAACTTCTCACTGCTGAAACCCTCCTTTTTCCTGACTTTCAACTCCAAAAACACGGAACTGGGTCCAGCAGGCCAGCTTGGAAAAAGGGACAAGGCACACACAAGTATAAGACAACTAGGGACCATTTATGCCTCCCAAAAGAGTGTTTGTGTTGTTTTTAGAACTACACCAAAAATTAGTATCTGACTTTCATTAAGTTATTCTAGCTGATGCGAGGGCAGCCTTAGGCCCAAAGCAAGAGAAAGTCTTTGCATACCAAGGACTAGAAACGTTGCCAAGTCAATCAAGAGCATGTGAAGCTTCTACTTACCAGTTTGATCGCTACATATTCATTGGTGTAGAGATTTTTGCCTGTGAAGAAAAAAGGAAAATCTTTTAGTTTTGCATTGAGCATTTCTAGTTTGAGAAGACAACTCAGGAGAGCTTCGTCGATCATTGTTGAGGGCAACGAGCTGTCTGTCTGCCTGGCATTAGACACTGAAGTTGGTGCCTCTAACAAAGTGCAAGACTCAAAATAGGAAGCTGCAGCAGTTTAGGCAAACACCATCTTCCACTCAGCATAAGGTACCCATGGATACCTTACCTAGCACTTGTGCTCCATACAAGCATTTGAGAAGGCTTCCCCCACACATAACATTTTATCATCCACAATGTGCCACAAAAGTTTGGGGAACAAAAAAGCAAGAATCGGACTCGTATTTCTTTTCAGAAATATCTTGCTTCTGCTGGACACGGAGCAGTTTGATCCAATATCTACAGGGGGTTTCAGCTGTTTAACTGCACAGTGTATCAAGGGGATTCTTGCAGGTGAGCAAATGAAAATAACCTTTGCACCAACACAGAGCTTTATTTCTTCCTCTATGATCAGTGTACGACAAAGGTCTCAGTAGGTCAATCAGGCCTCAATCTAATAAGGCCAACAACTGCCAGGGGCAATATAGGACCAATGAACTTCACAACTGTTCCCAGCGTGTCAACAAATACACTATATAGAGAACAAAATCCATTCTTGGCACCCCAAGAACCTATTCTTGTGGCCCAAAACACGGAGCACAACAGTATTTGCCCTTTCTCCAAGCAAGCACCGTGGCTTGTAGCACGCAGGATTAACCCTGTTGTTGCAGACTAAGGATTTGCCAGCCTAGCAGCAGCTCTGGCAGCACCCAGGATGGCTATGGACAGGCAAGCACGTAGCTGTACCTTCTCACCATCGCCATGTTCAAGTACCAGCAAACTGGGGCCGAGGGACACCAAGACGGAGCTAACGCGCTCGGGTTCAATAGCTCTAGTGAATTTGGACTCCATGAATTTGGCTGGTGTTTGAGCCAAGCCCTTTGGCCTCCTTAGTCATCTCTGGCAGAGACACAGTCTCATGTGTCAAGAGCATCTCATTGTTATCATTCAACGTCCTCCTGTTCCTCTACTAGGAAAGTTGAGCAGTCGCTCGCCGCTCACCTTCTTCGCGCTACTCGTGACTGACAAATGCTCCTGGAAGGAAGATCCTTGGGGAAGGAGACTTAGGCACTCCTCGTAGGGCATCTGTCTTGCACCCTTGACATCTCTGCTGCCTTCCTCTGGCCTCCCTGAGTTCCATCGCACAGGGGAGAGCTCCCTGTGCAGCGACACACTTGTCTACCCTTCCCAGTACGGCTAACCCGCTTTACTTTCCACTGCAAGGAAGTCATGCTTTGCATGGGACAACTTAGCAGAGCTCCAAAATTCAGCAGCAACCAACCTGAGAAGTTAAACAGCGCTGGTCTGTGCCACTGGTTTTGCCGGGCTCTGTTGGGCAGCTGTTTTCTGATTCTTGCAGTAAGTACCGAGACTCAGAAGACTGGATTAGCTATTGTGGAAGTTCATCACAAAGAGCAGAATGCTTCAAAACAGCTAGAAATGCGGGAAACTTAGCATATCTAGGGAGACATCATCAGAAAACATGCCCGGGACTCCTTCATGTACATCGTCTTTGCACACAGCAGCAACAACACTGGAAAACTCGATAAAACTAAAGACCGAAAGATGACTCTTGACGTTCTCTCACGCTCTTAAAATCCAAAATGCTTACCAAGAGAATTCCTTATTCTTCCCTCTCCTCTCTGCCCCTTAGTATCATCATTGGCTTCTTTTGAGGGCTGTTCTTCTAACTGATTTTGATACTTTTCTGCCAACTCAGGTTCGTTTTGGCCTGCAGTCTTCAAATAGGACATTCCTGATATATGTCCCACACCAAGCAGATGGCTTTAGCATTCATCAGGAGGTCCAGAATTTTACCCGAAGATGGGCACCTCAACCCGTCACAGCAACTGGCAGCACTATTTATATTTAGCACAAGTCAGGCCCTTTGTGGTGAGGTTAACTGGCCTAAGAAGAAACGTTTTATGCAACCAGAGCTGTAAGCTGAGTTTCACAGCGTTAACCCTTGTAGCACAGTTACTTTTTAGCAAAGGGACCCTACTGCTTCTTAGCTCTTTCACGATGGAAAAACTAGGTTTTACGGTCACACCAGCAACACCCAGAAGTTGGAGGATGGCTTCTAAGCAGAGAGATTGGAAGGGTGTGAAGGGCAAACTTGCAGGAAGGCAGATGGCAAGGAGCCAGATAAGGACTGCGGCCCGATACCACCCGAGGACAGCGGGAAGGAAAACATGCAAGGACATTAAGAGAAGGCAGCCTAGATACACTCAATTCATCTGCTCCACATTAGCTCCCCGAAAATGAGCCGTACCCGCAGCTCCAGACAGAGTTCACCCACTGACACTTCCCTCTCCCTTCCAACGGGGAACATATCAATATCAATATGGAGGACCCTGCATCCACCCAATGGAAGCTCCAGCCCATCTGAAGGAGAAAGTTAGATGCTCTAAGCAGGGAAAGACCCAAAGCAACATGGCAATAATGTCCCTCTCCATCTCGCATGCACCAACCCATCGCGCCCGGCATCACAACTCACAGCACAACAAGGTAGTTTTGTCACTTGATGTGAAGGGCTGTAACAACAGTTGAGAAGTGATGACCCACAGACCTTACATGACCACTCATGCTCTCCCGTCTCCCAACGCTTACACAAGGCAGCACAGGAAGGAAATGTTCATTCCTTGACCTGGTCTATCTCAGCATCAGATGGACAATGCGTTTTGGTGATGGACCAAGGCTGCCGAGTGGAGCTGCTCCAGTCCTAGTTCACAGGAAACAAGGTCTATTTTCATATTAACTTGGGGCTGGAGATCCAGCACATCATACAGGCAGAAGCTGCACTGTAAAACACACAACCCATTGCCCTATAGACCAAGCAGAGTTAACCCCAGTGCTGCACCCACAGAGACACCACGTTCTGGAGGCACCAGCCTACCCAGGAGTACATGTGAATTTTGTGCCATGCTTGTCCTTTCCAGAGCACCTCACGCTCCAAACAGCACTTAGAGTCCTACATATGACATGCCACCATCCCCGTCATTTGGGGACATTGGGAAAACAGCATTTGGAGAGGCTTATTTATCCCTATATTTTTCTCATGGTTCAGGATCGCAGATGAAGCGGTAGCAGTGGGTATTAAACCTGCCCAAGGTTGTTCTGCTTTCAGAGGTTCTGCAGGAGGCATGCAGGAAAAATCCATTCTGAGAGTCCATGAGTCAATACAAAGAGGTGGCTCACAGTCCTCAGTTGGCAATGGCCAATACAGAGCGCCTGTTAACCCTAATTAACAAAAACCCAGTAACATCTATTTTCATACTAAGGTGGGGTGGAGACCCAGGGCACAACCAAGGGAGACACTATCAAAATGGTGAGTGTTCTCTGGCTCACATGAGATTTCATTGGGCGGTTCTCAGGAAGCTGCACCACGATCTCGAGGCCTCCTTACAGCATGGTCTCCTATGGGGCTGCCAACCAACATAACTGCACAGGGGGGTCCCTCCACCTTCACACGTGGCCTCATCTCTGGCACATTTCAGACTCCTTCAGGATCCCATGGGCTTTAAACGTGACTTTTTTTTTCTCTTTTCCAAGAAGTGGCCAGTTTTCCACCCTCGGAGAGGCAAACCAGACCTCCTGCTTTTTGCTGGCACCAAGACCCTGGGGAGGTTCAGCTACTTCAGAGAAAAAAAAAAACCCAAGTTTTTACACACTACCTACCCTGCAGCCATCAGACCAGACATTGATTTTTGCTTTCATTCCTTTCCCACTTAGTTCATCTTTCCAGCCGAAATCCAACCATACTGCTCCCGCATGACTCCAAAAGCTTCAAAAACAGGATCCTTGGGGCTATTTACTTGTAGCAAGGGAGACCAGCCCTAAGCAGCTAGCTTGACATTCGCAGAGCCCAGCTTCACGATGTGACAGTATTGCCTTTCCTCCCCCAGATGATCAGTCCCCGGGTGATGCGGCGCGTGCTGATACAAGAAAGAGTGAAAGCACACCCCCTGAAACGAGCAGTCCTTTGGAGAACTGGAAAAATATCGTTTGCCCTTGTTTACCAGTCTACAGCCCATGCGTGACTTTGTTCTTCCTGTGTTTACTAAAAGCACTCACTGATTACTTACGTTTCTGAAACCGCATTTAAAAAGGGCCAAAAAAAGCAGAGTGGGGCATGCCATGCAGGACAACACTGTTTTCACCCTTGCCTGCTCGTATTTCAGACGTTCTGCTTCTCCTTCCCCCCAGCACAGCTCAGCAACAATTAGCATCACATCTGTGCAAGCAAACGGGAGTGCTAAAGCTATAATGCCTAGCAAAAGGGCTGAGAACTTCAAGCAAGGTTCCAGCTTGAGGGCCTGGTGTTTAATTCCCACTCTCAGTGCGCCAGGCCCTTTGCCCAAGCACAGCGAGTCGCAGCGTAGTCGGCCACCGGCCTCTAGCAAAACACCGACCGTGGTAACGTACCCAGAATTACGTGCTGTTATTAACAGTGAGTCTCTTTCAATAGCTAAAACGGAACTGCTCGGTTAAGCAAGCGCAGAATCGCACCCCCGTGTTTAAAATCTGTGCTTTGAAACAATATGTTTGTTAGAAATCTGATATTTGAGTCTCCAAACTGCTAAAACTTTGAGAAAGGTGGAAAAGCAGGACCCCAGGAACAAGATGAGAATTTGGACACCAGCTGAATAAAAGCACGAGCTATTTACCTGGAGGGATCCAACACAAATGCAAAGCACTTCAGCGGCCTTGGCCACAGAGTTGCAGCTGTGCAACATTTGCAAACTTGTAATTCTTGCAAACATTTGCAAATGTTGCAAATGCAACATTTGCATTTGGGGGCCCTCTCCCTTTAAGGCATAATTCTTTGGGGTGTTTCACTGGAAAACGCAACTGAATTATGTGTGTTATGTTACTAGGAGGATCCAAACCACCTCATCTTCAGGCGCCAATAAGTCCATGTGCTTTGGTTCATATTTGGGAAATTGAGGATTTTGGTCACTCGTCTCGCTTTCTCCTCCTTTGCAACATCAGCTGCACTCCGGCTATTCTCTAATCCCTTTTTGAAATCAAAACGATCAATTTACTGCGCAAAAAATATAAGCAACTTGGTTACTCTTTATAATACATAGATGTGTCCTATCCTATAGGGACATTAGCCAAACCTTAGAACAAAATGTAGGCATATATAGATATTTTGAGCAAGAATCTACAAAGCGTCTGCTGGTAGCTGTAACTCCTTGTTGGCAGGTTACCTGGAGCAATTTCCCAGTTGATTTAACTGTTATCTTTTCTTCTTAAATTCAGTTCTGAGTAGGCAAAAGTTGTTTGCATCGGCCCACCTGCCTATGGCCCTTCCAGGTGGCACAGCAATCCACTGTGTGCAGCACAAAGAACAGAAACGCAACTGTTTTTAGACAGGTCTGAGGGCCAGGAACTGCCCCTTCTGACTGAAAAAAAGACCCCAAGCCCCACATTGAGAGCACAGAGGCATATAATCAAAAACGCTGTCTGCTTTCGCCTCCTCATTAAACAAAACCAACCCACCGCACCATGAACACATCCTTTGTTCAGGGTGACTTACGAGCCCAACGCGAGGCAGCCCGCAGAGCCATCTGCCTGGGCCCCCAGCTGCAAGCCGCGCTGTTGGGAGACCAACGGACCAAGAGGAAAAATAAAAAAGCAAAGGCTGTCGGGACGGTTCAGCGGCCGGGAGGCAGCAGCCAGATGGCCCGGCAGCTCATCCTGCTCTGAGGCAGCGAGTCAAACGCGGGGGACAGACCGGGCAGTGGGTGAGGGGGCAGAAATTAGGGCATGGAGGGTAGCGACAGACGTGGAAGGGTGAAGATGGGGCTGAGCGCTGGGATACGGCCTAGCCCATCGCTTGAACAGGAACAAGAAACTGAGAGAAGGATTTAGCAATCCAGACAGCTGGGAAGCTCTTTCACCTTAGGCAAGACATTCAGCGTTGAGGAGAGAACAAGGCTTCATTGTTGGAGTTGGTCAGATTTTGCATCTCTGGCCACTCCGCTCTATTCGCTTTGGCTTTATGCAAATAAAAACAACGTTAACAGTTACATTTTCCGAGTCAGGAGCTGCAGGTAAGGTGCCTCAACCCTTGGGAAACAGGACAAAACATGGACTTCTTAAACCGCAGGAAGATTTTAGGAGCTTATATTCCAGTGCTGAAACGCTAGCCCGAACACCAGGCCATTGAAACAGTTGCTTCTTACCTAGTCTGAGTTCTCCAAAGTTCCCACACCCAATCTTCTTGCCCACTCTGAAGTTGGGTCCCACCATAAGAACACCAGAAGATGCAGATGAACTCGACGGCCGAGTACCGTGCCCGCTCCTGCCCGGCATCCCCTTCGTCGTGCGCTGCCTTTCATCCTTTTCCCTGTTAGAATGGTCCATGATCTTAGCACAAGATCTCTGCCAGTGAGCTGGCAGAGAGCACTTGGAGGATGCACTCTTCTTCTTAGAAGAGAAATATATATCCAAAAATATCTGAGTCAGGGTCCAAGAGAGTCATGGAAACGTGTGGAGTTCTTTTGGCACCATATCCAGTTTCCTAATGCATCTTCATAATGTACCAAGTGGTCAATTATGTTCTTGAGAACTCAATAAAGGCGAGTTGCTTTCGGTTTCTTACCTGGGGAGAAGAAAAAGGATATGTGAAATCAAAAATCATTACTTTAAAATACCAAGAGAGAAATGTACAACGTGGCAAACTTCCAGGATCTTCCGGAGCTATTTAGGTCCCAAAGAAGTTAACAGCTAATGTATTAACTTTACAGATCTCCTAGCAGTTTTCTGATAAAAAGCCTCAACATCACAAAGAGAAATAAATGATGGCCCATCCACTGCTTCCTATTAGAGATAGCAGGCATGGCATTAGTCAACTTCAATTACACCAGGATCTCAGGTGAAAACAAGGCAAGAGGAACATGCTCCATCATTAAAGCCACTGTGAAGCACAGAGTTTGTTTTCCCTCTTCAGGTATTCACAAAGTGTTACACAAAAGCCAGACAGATACAAAGCGGCAAATGAAAGAGAAGAAAATCCCGAAGCACTTAAATTACATGCATCTACTGTACAAAAAGTCCCATCTTACCTAGCTTTGCATCTTCAAAACTTAACAGAGTTAAGGCAAGACAGCCAAAGGCCAAGATCTCTTCCAGCAGCCCAAATTCACAACTGGCAAAGAAAAACCTGACAGATCTCCAGGAGAATCTGCAGGACACCTCCTTCCTCACATGCCCGGACTTGTCTTCATTATATCCCTGGGGCTGGCATCTCCAGTCTACTCCAGAGAGCACACTGGTGCATCTAATGACCACCAGCGCATTCATTCTGTCAAAAGACGACAGGACACAGATGCTTGTCGATCCCCACAGCCAGATGGCCCAGCTGGTGCTGCACGGAGCCGGGCCGTCCTGGCTCAACCAGCGCAGGGAACTCACAGATGGACACCTTGCCATGAGGTGCATCCCAAGGTGTAAACTTGCCCGGGGTCTCTGGGGCAGCCAGGTGATCCAGCTCGACACTCCTGTGGCCAAGGTAGCTTCAAGCATGAAAGCCTGGAGCCTCTAGTGCAACAGGCAACGTGATGGTCAGGAGGTCCTGAAGATGGGGTGGATGAGCTTCTCCTCACACCCAAGGCAACAGGCAGACGGGAGAGGGTGCAGCATGTTTTGTACAGGGGATGAGCACAGCTGGGGTTGGACAGCAGACGGGGACGTGCTGGTGGTCACGACACAAGCAAGAATCTACAACTGGAGCACACCTACCTGGCAACACCCCCATATCCCGGGCCTTTCGCGCTCCCGCGTGGACGTGGGGTTTTCCTGACGTGAGCAGAGAGGGCTGGAGTGACTTTAGAAAGAGTTTGTGTCCTGCTTTCATGCAGAGGGCTACAGCTAAAATTGTCGACGTTTGCCTGGAAGTTAGGCAAATACCTCCAAAATCAGCAGAAAAGTGCCAGCTGGAACCAGCTAAACTAGATTGGCTGTGGAAGGACATGGCCAGCCGAGCGCTAGCGGGGACACCCCGAACACGACTGCGTTTATGGGGGTTCAGACGCTGGCTCCTTTTTCCAAGCAATTTAGAAGGGGGGTTAGCTGCTTCACGACATGGTGAAGCTACCCTGCCTACTTCCAGCCCTCCAAAGGCCAAAAATAAACCCAAATTACTATGTGTCCGCAAGTCACCAGCATGCAGCAAGAGCATTAACTCTTTTGAAATACGAGCACGCTTTCCCTCATCTCCCGGATGTGCTACACTCGTTTCTAGACATTTTTGTTTTGAACCGAGTCATCTGCAGACAAGGCAGGAATCCTTCGTGACAGATCCAGAACACGCCTGTCGCCGCCAGGTAAAATTCAAGTTTCTGAACAGGAACAAGTTTTCTTAGCACAATTCCAACATTTCCTATCCACTTCCTCTTGCATCTCTGAACATACGCACAAAAGAGGACACGGTTTAGCTCTCCTTGAGCATCCTGCCTAGATTATTTTTCAGAAATCACACAACCAAAAAAAAAAGCAAGGATTAAGCAAAGAACTGCACAACTTGAACAGTGGCAGTGGGGAACTACCTTTCAATGCTCTGGTTTATAGATCACTGGTTATAGACCACATCAGGGAGTATGGAAGAGTCTGAATGGGCTCCATCTTCACTGGAAGGACACCTGTCTTCCCGCAGGACGTTAGGAAGATTGGAAACACCACAAAAGAGGAGCTAATAATCGAGTAAAGAAGAGGAGCTAATAACCGAGTAAAGAAGAGGAGCTAATAATCGAGTAAAGCAGCTTCCTGTGACGCGACAACCCCACCAAAACCCTCCCACCTTCAGCCGTGTGTGTGCACTAACGCCAGGAGTCCAGCTGGGGCTGCGCAGCTTGTAACCCACGAGATGCTTCGTTACCGGGCAGTCCTCCTTTCCACAGGGAGAAAGCAGCTGATTTCTTGCGACACAGAGGTGGATCCCTACAGAAGCCGCCATACGGCCCTTCCACAGCACCCACAACAGGTCCGAGATGTGTCCCGCGCGGGCGCCACAGGGCTGGCTACGCAAGCGCAGAAGCGGCCACCTGTAGTGTTCATGTGGGACTGGGCAGCTCCGAACTGCCCACCTACCCAGTACCGAAGAGCTGGGGGTGTCCAGGTACAGGAAACTCCATGGCTACTATTAGCAAGCCTTACTTGTACCTCCAACACAAGTAATTCAAGCTTTAATAGCTAAATCTGAATACGGATTAGCAGGAAGTATCCATTACAGGTGAACTGGACAAACTGGTTCTTCATCACAGATCTCTCCAACACGCCTTCGGTGGCAGCATTCAGTGGGACAGGGTGAGTTTGTGCCGTTCCTTAAAGCGGGTTGCGTGGGGAGCAGCTGGTAGTATCTGCTCTGCGTGCGCTCTGCTTGCAGGGCGACACTGAGCAGGGACAACTTGCCCCGAGTGAGCTGCTAGCTTAGCCCGCAGCAGCAACCACGGATGCCCTAGAGATAGCAGAAAGCCACTTTGGCTGGATCCCATCACAATGTGTGCTGGGACTTGGAAGGAGGAGAAGGGAAAAAAAAAATTAGCCAAGTCATTGAATCATTCGTCTTTCTGAAAGGAAGCCATATGTGCGAGGATGATGAAGGTGTGTGTCTAGGGCTGAGCTAGATCACTAGGAAAGGATGAGTAGAAGAGAGGAGTCGCATGAATGAAGAAGTAACACTTTGGGAAATACAGCAGACCCCATCAAAGCCAGAAGGGAGGAGTTTTTCTTTTTCCTGCGGCCAAAAGCCATTTCCATTGAGAGGGACAATCTGCGAGGAACAGCTACAGACCTCAAAGAAGGGTAACAAAAACACCTCCAGCAAGAGCGGTAACACCGGTTATATGCAACATAAAGGGGCTACAAATGCAATTCTATTTGCAATTCTACTCTTTTTTTTTTCCCCTCTCCCAGAAAGTGTTCCTTTCCAGAAGCTATGAACCTACCACTGAAAATTGGAAGTAAAATTGCAGTGAGACCGAAGCAACAAGCCCTTGAAGGCTGCCACTTTGAAAACACAGTAGCAAGTTCTGCTAACTTTTACTGCTGGAAAACAGTGCAAAGCAATTCGAGAGACAAAGAGGACAGCAGGTTTTGTGGGCTCAGGAGATCCCAGTGTGATAGACTGTCCGAAGGCAGGTCAAAAAGCCCAAAGGGAAGAGGCAAACGACTGTAAAACAGTAAAGTTAAGAGGAATGTCAATGTTTTGGCAGAGCTGCAGATAGATCTTTAAGGTTTTTTCTTGCTTATCTTGAAATTCTGATAACAGCTGCATGTTAGCTGAAAGAGAAACCAAGGAAAGCCAATATAAACTAAAACCATAGGAAAGGATTTGAAGACAGCTTGATTATCCGGAGATGGCATGGACAGAGAACTCGCTACGATTCACATCATCTGCTGCGGGCTACCAAAATCCATGTAACCCTCCACGTGCCCGTCCTGCCACACCGGCCCACGGCCAGCAGGGCAGCACTAGGCAGCTCTGCTGCTGCGGCTCCCAACGCCTAGGTGGGATCTTCCCAACGTGCCGGCTGGCCGTTGGCAAGAGACGGCACCAGCATGGAGCGTTACCCACCGTGACACCACAACAGAGCTGAGAGCCACCAAGGGGTGCAGGCCCACAGCTCGGCGTGGCCCAAACAGCTCCCAATAGCAGAGCTGACCTCAGTTTTCAGCTGGCAGGTGCAGGGCACCCCACGCTGAGGCCGACCACACCATTCCTTCAAGGGTTCTTCTGAGCCTTGATACAACTTACTGCCTTCTTCCCCACCCAGATTTGAGTCTCACCTCAAGGCAGGCGTGCCAAGATTTGTCAGGTTGGACAGCAGACACACACCACTGTCTGATACTTAAAGCATCTTGCTCACCACGTCTTGGATGGGACAAGCAACTTGGTTCTTCTCGGGCACATGAGTAGGCTGAGCTCCATCACCCGTTATCTAGCTGGTGCAGCACATTTTTAACGTTTATGAGCCACGACGCCCCCATCCTTCCTCCCTGCTCCTGTGATTTGTGTAGGGCTTCCCCAGGGGGAAGGATGGAAAGGTCGCACCTGACAGCTGGAGAACACTCCGCAGCCTCGCTCTTCACTGAAAGCCTTTTGCAGCAAACAGGAATTCAGATCAGCAAGAAGCCATGAACGCCGTGTTTGATAACCTCCTCGTTACGGCAAGCGCCATGAGCAGATCCCAGGCGCCAGGTTGCACCAAGCTGCACAGCATTTTCTTTGAGGTTTTTTACTCTATTGCTCTTGATTGCCACTATCCAAAAATCTGAGTGTAGTAAATATGGCATCAGACCTGACTTTGAAGGACCAACGAAGAAAAAGTGCTTGGTTTTGGAAAAGAAGCGGAGAAGAACGAAGCCGAGACTGTAATTTGAAGTCTGTCACATTAATATTTAAAGACTACTCGGAACACTAGGACTCTATTTCCTGCCACGATACAAACTTTTTCATAACGATTTTCCTTCCTACCTTTCCACCCACTCAGCAAGATCGCTGCCGAGAGGTACGTGCACTGGAACAAAGCTGCAGGAAGATATTTGCCTAATGGTGACTCAGGTCGATTCCAGTATTTGTTTCACTAAAACATGCTTTAAGAC